GGTGCGGGATCGGGCAGTGTTTCGTTCTGCTGTGCATGGGGTCGCTATGAGTCGGAAACGACTTGACGGCACTTAACAACAACAACAACAACAACTTGAGTTTTGATCCACATTGTTCTCTCACTCTATCCAGGATCTTCTACATAGATCCTCCTCTGAGTGGTTGACAGTGATAACTGGGCACCATCCAGTTCTTCTAGTCTCATAGTCATATAGGTTGAGGAATGCATGGTGTACCAGTCACTTGGACTAATTGTTTCCATGAATCTTTGGTTTTCTTCATTCTTCTTTGCTCTAGATGAGGAAAGACTCATTGTTGCTTCTAGATGTGTGCTTGTAAGCTTTTCAGATCCCAGTCCCTACTCACCAAAGTAGGAGTGGAACAATGTTTTATGTAGGATGTTATGTCAATTGAGCTTGTGACTATGAAAGCCACATCATTTCCGATCAAGTGATTACCATACTGGCTTCCTCATGGAATTCATGATTCCAACCGTCTCTTCTTTCATTGCTAGCCCAAACACCTGGGTTGGTCTTCCATCAAAACAAGATGAGTAGAAGTCAGAAAAACACAGGAGGAAAGAGAAGAAACATTGTTGAGGCCCCTTACCATGGGGGAAAAGATGGCATTAATGTGGAGTGCCTGGGCTGGAGGGTAGAACTCAGTTTTGAACAGATTTCCTAAATATGTCTTGCAGAGCTGCTACATGCATAGGGCTGTTCCGCATGTTTTTTGTGGGGAAATAGAAACCTAAGATCTGGATCCTACTCTCAAAGCTTACATTAACTGAGAGGCACAGAGAGTAAATGTGAGATTTGTACTAATTTTCAATGTACAGTACATGTGTGGGGTGGTAATATCAGGTAAGTGGTAAATGTATAGGTTACAAAACATTTGCCATTTCAACATACACAGTTGTCATTGGCTGATTTTTGGAAGGTCACTAAGCCTTTCTTCCTAGTCCATCTTAGTCTAGAAACTCTGCTGAAACCTGTTCAGCATCATAGCAATAGGCAAGCCTCCACTGACAGATCCATGGTGTCAGCATGTGCGGAGCATTGGCTGGAAATTGAACCCAGGTTTCCTGCATGGTAGACAAGAATTCTAACATTAAACTACCAATGCCTCATAGTCTGGTATATCCAAACCCAACCCAACCCACTGTCATCGAGTAGATTCTGACTCATAGTGACCTTTAGGACAGAGTAGAACCACCGCATAGTGTTTCCAAAGCTGTAAAAACATTTTTTTCCCATTTTATTTATTTATTTTTAATTTTTATTGTGATTTGGGTGAAAGTTTACAAATTCACTTTCCATGCAGCAATTTATACACATTTGTTTCATGACATTGACTGCTATTTATTTCCCACAATGTAACAGCTCTCTTCCCACTTCCTTTCTGTAGTTACTTCTTCCCTGTGTCCTTCTTTCCTATGCATTCCTGCCCTCTGAGCTATCTCCTTGTGCAAATAATGCCCTTCTGTTCTCCCATGATTGATTATTCTAAGTGTATCTACCTGATATAAATATATGCTTGTCCATTGTTTGGCTGGAAGCCACGGGAGTCAGTTCAATTCCAGACCTGAAGGGTAACTAGGGGCCATGGTCTTGGGGTCTCACCAGGCTCTATCAGACAAGTAAATTGGTCTTTTTTTTTTTTTAATGATTTTGAGTTTTGTTCTACATTGTTTTCCCATTCTATCCAGGATCTCTGAGGCTATAAATTTTGACCGAAGCAGCCTGTCTCATCTTTCTCCTATAAAGCGAATGGTGGGTTTGATCTGCCGACCTTTTGGTTAGCAGCTGAATACTTTAACAACTATGCCACCAGAGCTTCTTGGTCTTGTATGTAAGAAGTACTTAATTAAGGGAGCAGCTTGTATTTATTATTCTTATCAGTCAGTGCATCAAGCCTTTCTGCTGCTCAGATGTGCCCGCTCTGTGGAAATTACTTTTTTCTTCCCATTCTCCACCAAGCTCCAAAGGCCTCTACTCCTGGCCTGAACCCCAAGCTTTACCCCTGTTCTCTGGCCTGTTTCCGTACTGAGCTCCAGATCACCAGTTCTGCTGCCTCCTGACGCAAACCACCAATACTCTTAATAGTGTGCAAACATTTAAAATCTAAATTGTTCCATCCCAATGTTCCCTCAAAAACAAAAACAAAATACATTCTAGTGCCCTAAGTTTTAGCTTTTAGTTTGGAAATATAAATATTTATTTATTTAGCTTTGGGCCTTTGTAAAAGCTCACTATTATGGGGTGACCAGAGGGATGAACCCCAATCCCACTCAGATTTCAGAGTCAAAGGATGGTGTGAGTTTGTGACATGGATGACATACCTATTTTGATTGGAACTAAGGAACCTATTACTCACTTCCTTTTCCTTCTTGCACAGAGATCTGGAAACATTAAACACCAGTTTACCATTGCCTCAGACTTGCCCACAGGAATGTCCATCATTAACTAACTGCTTAAAAGTAGTGCCTTTGAAAACTATGAGATGAGAATGGCCATGTGCTGCTCTCATCTGCTGGGGCCTGGGAGGACATCAATTACAGTGGTACCAGGTTAAAAGTACTTAGTCATTTTGGGGGTAATCTGACCACTCACTAAATATTTGATGATATTAGGAAATTGTTATTATTATTATTTATTCTTTTTCTTATTATTATAAATTATTTTAGTGGTGATAGTGGTATTATAGGAGCTCTGTGGCATAGGGCCTAAGACATTTGACTGCTAATCATAGGCCTGACAGTTCAAACTCTCCAGCCACACCTCAGAAGGAAGGTTGGGCAATCTACCTCTGTAGTGATACTGCCTCGGAAACCCAAGGAAGGGTTGCTATGGGTCAGATCCAGCTCAATGTCAGTGAGTGAGTTTAGTGGTATTATAGGTATATTCAAAACAAAAAGTTATTTTTAAAAAAAAAAAATTTTCATTTTGATTTGAGTGGAAGTTTACAGAGCAAATTCATTTTCCATACAGCAGTTTATGCACATTGTTTCATAACATTGACTGAAGTTCTCTACAACATAACAGTTGTCTTTCCACTTCCTCCTCATAGTTACCTTTTCCCAGTGTCCTTATCTTCCATGCAACCTCCCCTCCCCCCCAGGTATCTCCCTGTGCAAACACTGCCCTTCTGTTCTCCCATGATTGATCGCTCCAAGGAGTGTATCTTCCTGATGTAAATGTTCACCCCATATGCCTGTCTATTGTTTGGCTGGAAGCCACAGGAGTGAGTTTAATTCTAGACCTGAAGGGAAAATAGGGGTCATAGTCTCAGGGGTCTCACCAGGCTCTATCAGACCAGAAAACCTGGCCTTTTTTTTTTTTTTTTTTTCTCTCTCATGATTTTGAGTTTTATTCCACATTGTTCTCTCACTGTATCCAGAATCTCCTGCACCAATTCCCCTCTGAATGGCTGACAGTGGTAGCCAGGCACCATCTAGTTCTTCTGGTCTCATGGTCATGTAGGCTAAGGATTGCATGATCTACTAGTCATCAAGGCTATTTTGTCTATCCATATAATGGAATATTACTCAGCCATAAAGATAAATGAAGTTCTGGTACATGTCAGAACATGGATGAATCTTAAAAACCTGATAACTGAGTGAAAGATATCAGACACAAAATTATATGAGCCTACTTAATCTAATAATATCTAGAATAGGCAAATGCATAGAGACTAAAATTTATTAGCGATCACCAGGGTTGGGTGAAGGGGAAAGGGGGAATTATTGCTTAAGGAACACTGAGTTCCTGTTAGGTGTGATGGGGTAATTTGGAGAGAAGTGGTAATGATTGTACATGGTAAATGGAACTAATGTCACTGAGTTGTACACATGAAAATGATTGAAATGGCAAACATTTTGTTATATGTATTTTACAATTAAAAAAATTCTTACCTTTGATACCTACTTAAGTTTTTACCAATAAAATGAAATGATGCTTGGGATCTGCTTCCAAATAATTTTGTTCAGAGTGAGGGGGGCTAGCGAGGGATAGAGTTGAAGCAAGATTAATTATAAGTTGATCATTGTTAAAGCTGGGTGATAGGTACATGAAGGTTCATTATATTCTTTTCTCTGTTTTTTAAAATTTTTAAATTTTCCATAATTAAAAAAGTTCTCTTTAAGTGCATTGTCGTGAATGAAAGCCTAAAAGGACTATCTTTGAGCAGGAGTGGGTGAACTTTAGGGCACCACCAGCTGCTGTTCCTTCCTTTGGCTTTTCACAGCCTTGTCACTCATGTAGAGAACCCAAATGGGCTTCCCATAGTGTCCAGGAGGGTGACTGTGTCACACATTGATGAATGACTGGCTGGTGCCCAGTGAAGACTGAACGTGTAAATGAAAGCAAAGCCCTGATCCTTTTCTTCTTGTCTTGCAGTGGAGCCCAGGGGGAATATGCTGGGCTGGCCACTATCCGTGCATACTTGGACCAGAAAGGAGAGGGGCACAGAACAGTGAGTATGGACAGGTGGCGCTTGCCCACCAGGAGGCAGCAGTGTGTCTAGCCCTCAGGCTTCTGGGGCTTGTCCTTTCCTTCTGTGAACACTCTCAGAAGCAGATAGGGGAAAGTTTTATAAAGAAACACATTTCTGTGAACTGACCATTCTGATCCTTGCTGCCAGGACATCTCATTTGACCACTGTGAGGGAAAACATGTAGAGATAAAAGTTTTTTGCTCAAATCCACTAAATAAAACCTTTCCAGTTGGCCGTGGAACTACTCTCTACAGGAAACAAAGGGAGGAATGGGCAGGAATGTTGCAATTTCCAGGCTTCCTCTCCTTGGCTCAGGCCTGGTTGTAGGCCTGACAGAGGGTAATTGTTCGGGAGTCCCCACTGTGCCTAAGCACAGTTCTGGTCATATTTATACTAAAATAAATATTTATTAAATAAATGAATTCCTCACAGATGATTCTCAGCTATAAGCAACAAAAATGAAATTGAGCAAGGAACCCTGGTAGTATAAATGGTTAAGAGCTCAGCTGCTAGCCGTAAGGTTGGTGGTTTGAACCCATCCAGCATTTGCATGGGAGGAACACTTGGAGAGTGAAGATTACTGCCAAGAAAATCCAATGGGCCAATTCTCCTCTGTCACATGGAGTTTTTATGACTTGAAGTCAATTTGAAGGCACCTAACAACGAAAGATTTACAGAAGAATGACATGGGACATGGAACAGAGTTTGTGTTTCTGTCTCATCATTTGCTTTGGGTATGAGAGTCTGTCTATAGTCTCTTAAGTGGGGCAAATAGTTGATGTGCTAGACAGCTAAGCTAAACATTGATGGTTCAAATCCACTGGAAAGAAAGGCCTGGTGATTTATTTCTGAAAAATCAGCCAGTGAAAACCTATAGAGCATTGTTCTACTCTGACACACATGGGTTCACCATGAGTAAAAATGGACTCAATGGCAACTGGTTTTATGAGAGTCTAATCTCCAGGGGGAGCTCTGGTGGCATAGTGCCTAAGGCATTTGACTGCTAATCAGAAGGCTGTTGGTTCAAACCCACCAGCTACTTCTCAGAAGGAAGTTTGGGTGATCTAATTCTGTACTGATAAACCAAAACCAAAACCAAACTCACTGCCATCAAGTTGTTTTCTGACTCATAGCAACCCCTCCTTTCCAAAGCTGTATCTCTACAGAAGTAGATTTCCCAACCTTCCTTCTGAGGAGTGGCTGGTGGGTTTGAACTGCCAGCCTTCTGATTAGCAGTCAAATGCCTTAGGTACTACGCCATCAGAGCTCCTTCCATAGTGATACTGCTTCAGAAACCCAAGGAGGGGTCGCTATGAGTCGGATCCAACTCAATGGCAGTGAGTTAGTTAATCTCCAGGGAGGTCTCCTGGGTCAAAACTTCCTCATGGGGTCCTTTGTCGAGACCAGCAGATGCTATTGGGCTTGATATAATTCTACTAGTTCTCAGTGACAGTGCATTTGGTTACAACCTGTGGCTTAAGGAAGTCTGTGTTCCTGGCTTCTTTATTCTGGTGATGTCCAGCACTAAGTGAAGACTTCTACTGAACTGTGGAGTCTGTTTTCTTAGAGGGAGCAGTGCGTATGAGTCAAAGGTGAGACAAAGGGATTTGCCAGTTCCAGGAGAGTTAGAGCATGGGGTACAGAGCTGGCTTCTGATGCCCAAGTAAGTGGGATGGGGCAGGTGATGGCCCAATCTTGGTACACGAAAGTGTCATGAAAGACCATTCCGCCCTGAATGACAAAGAGGAACTGGGTGCTGTACCTCAGGGAGGGAGGGAAGTAGAGGCAGGGAAGGCCATCCAGTCACTGAGCTTGTAGAAATACAAAAGTCACAAGTTTAGAAATGTTGGCATCCTTTCTAGATTAAAGGTCTTAATTAAGGCCAACTCTTTTAGTTAGAGAAGAAGAAAATGACTTATGACTCAAATAATCAGGGAAGATTTTTCTGTATCTGTGACATCTGAGGCAGCTGCTACTGCTGCACAATGGGCTCTAATGGAATCCAGTAAGATGTGTATTTCTGTTTCGAAAGGAGGTATGGGAGGGAAATATGCCACTGAACCACCTGGGTTCCCGAGGATTCTCCTGTTGAAAGCTGCTTCTTGAAGTTATTTTCACATTTGCTGTTAGGTTAAATTTCAGAAGTTCCAAAACTATAATGCCCACGTTCTTACTTTATCCGTTTCATCTGTGAGAAATAGAAGTTTATTTAGCAAACAGGTATACAGCCATTGCTATGTGCCAGACACTGCCCTGAACACTTAACAGCTCAATTTGCTAGTCAAATATCAATTCAAATTTGCTGCTCAGAGACTAGGTTCCTATGTAAAAGGAAAAGATTGACCAGCACCACCACAACAGCTGTTTGGAGACATTTTTCTCTTCCCAACTTCCTAAGGCAAATTAAGCCTTTGGATGCTGGATTTTACCAGTGGTAAGAAACCAATTTCCTTTGCATGGAAACTCTCCTCCTTACTCTTTCACTCATCCAGCAAGCCTTTGAGGATCATCTATACTGGGTGAGGTCCTGTGCCAGGCATGCTGCGGAGTTAAGAAAACATTGTTGTTAAGTGCTGTCGAGTTGCAACTGACTCATAGCAACCCCTCCTTGGGTTTCCAAGGCTGTATCACTACAGAAGTAGATTGCCCAACCTTCCTTCCAAGGAGTGGCTGGTGGGTTTGAACGGCCAGCCTTCTGATTAGCAGTCAAATGCCTTAGGCACTATGCTACATAGCATCCATCTAAATGGATGTAACCAAAGCATCAGTGGGTTCTGTTACTTCTATATCTCTCATAACAAACACAGTTTCAAAGTGAGAAGAAATTAATATCATAATAAGGAATGAAAGTCCTTTAAATAGAAGTATCTCCCAGCACCATATAAGTGAGTCATTGACGATTCCACTGAGACTTTTGCTTTGTGCTGCTCTTTCTATCGGGAGTCTCTGGGTGGTGAAAACAGGGTGCTCGGCTGCTAACCAAAAGGTTTGAGGTTCAAGTTCACCAGGGACACCTTGGAAGAAAGGCCTGGTGATTTACTTCTGAGAAATCAGCCACTGAATATACTATGGAGTGCAGTTCTATACCAGTGTGACTGCTGTGAGTTGGAGTCAGCTTGACATCAACTACTATTAGTTTTCTGTGGCTGCTGTAACAAGTTACCACAAATTCAGTGGCTTAAAAGAATATAAATTTATTTTCTTAACGTCAGTTCTACCCAAAGCAATTTATACATTCAATGCAATCCCAATCCAGATCCCATCAACATTCTTTAAAAGATATGGAAAAACCAATCATTAACTTTATGTGGAAAGGAAAGAGACCTCGGATAAGCAAAGCATTATTGAAGAAGAAGAACAAAGTAGGAGGTCTCACACTGCCGGATCTCAAAACCTACTATACAGCCACAGTTGTCAAAACTGCCTGGTATTGGTATAATGACAGACACATAGACCAATGGAATAGAATTGAGAACCCAGAAATAGATCCAT